GTCCGCTCCCAAACCGCGAAAATCTCTGGGCGGGCCTCGCGCATCGTGCTTGCCGTCCTCAACGATTAGACTGGGCTCCTAGAGCTCGGAAGGTCTCAGGGGGGACTCGCAGGTCAAGTTCACGGAGTTGTTCGGCACAATGCGAAAACAACACATCGATACATGATGCATACAAACATTGCAGACATGGAAACGGTTTTCTGATGTGCGTGTCTGGGGACCTTGATGCAGACAAACGTTCAGATGTCGGGGTTGGCCTCATAGTTGCACCATGTGCCGAAAGATCGTCAATTCCGTTCCATGCCTCTTCTCCGAGACTCGCCTCCCCGAGGAAAAAATCGCTGATGGAATGCTAACCCTCCGTCAAGCGAACTTGTTATGCCGACCTGGACGCGTACATCCGGCCGACAATGCCTCACAACAGACTATGATACTAGGGGATTTCAATGCTCGACTGCTGCTTCGGAATCAAAGCAAAGAACACATAATTGGAAAACATATTTACCGCGGAAAGCTTGCACAACGCACCGCTACACAGGTCTCCAATCGCCAACTTCTGCTGGAATGCTGCCACGGCAACTACATGGCGATCGCGAATACATTCTTCAATGTACCACAGGACGAACGTATCACGTACAGGGATTCGGGAGTGGCTCCGATGGCCCCTATCTGGCCTGAGCGGTGTTCACAAATCGACCACATCTTACGCAATTCTTTAGTTTTGCCATGGGTTCCAGATTGCAGATCCAATCGAGGAGCGGCCCTAAACAGCCACAATTTCCGGACCACGGCGAATATTGCATTCCAATCTCAGAATTGTCATAAAGCCCGCCCGCCGCGCTTAGACGTTTATCTTTGTGGGAGCCTGGCGTGTAACGAGATGTCATATCTAAGCTCATGCTGGCTTGGGGCGCCGCTGTTTTGGGGGACTCTTTTGATGACGTGGCCGGGGCGGTGTAGCAAGCTCTCTCGTCCGCTGCATGGCTCTTTGAAGCCAAGGCATACCGCGGCAGAGCAGCGCTCAAGGATATCTCAACATACTTCTTAAGGGCTCCCAACTTCGCGCTTCGCGCTGCGCGAAGCGCGAAGTGCGAGTAACTTCGCGCTCTCGCGCCGCCTCCCAGGGGAGAAGAGGAGGATGAGGAATCGGAGCCGAACCGCAAAGCGCGAATAACTTCGCGCCATCGAGGGCGCCCTTGCTTTCAGACTTAATCGAGAATAAAAGCACATGCCGAAGAACAGGGCATTCCATCGACGAACTGGCGTTGGATAAAGAAATCCGACAAGCTGCACGACAAGACCGGACAGACTGGATCAACACCACATCGGTAAGGAGTCATTGGAGCGCCGCCAAACAATTGAGGCAAAAAAACGACAACGAGAACACGCTGGAGTCAAAGATCTTGCAGGGCACTTGTAGGACACAGCACGCCGACTAGACACGCTAGCAAAATATGTCGAAAAAATCACATGGCGCATACGTTTTCCGGAGGTGGCCCCAGAAGCAACATCGAAGATGGGAGACACGCTCTCGTCGACACATCAAATTTCTCCTTACATGAATTACGTGACTCATTGCGAAAAATGAGGCATGGACAAGCGGCCGGGCCCGACGATATACCGCCAGACTTCTGGAACATACTGGCCAACAGCGACGATGCGTGCACAGCATTACTGCACATATGTCAAACTGTCGGGGAGCTAAAGACATCCCAACGAAGTGGAGGAGAGCCAATGATGTTTCATGAATCAAAAACGAGACACAACCCGTCCAAGCAATTACACGCCGGTCGGAAGAAGTAGGTAGAAACGTGAAGTAGGAAGGCGTTGGAAGTAGATTGGGCTTCCACCCGCCCCCTGAAGAGGAGGAAAGAAGGAAGCCGCTCGACTCTTGAAGTAGATTAGGATTTGGGCATCCAAAATACCGGCTTTCAACGACCGGCGTGTACAGGCCGATCTCGTTGTTGGCAGTGGAGTGCAAAACTTCGGCTTCGATGGTTCGGGGTGCACCGCCGTCTTATACAGTGAGGGTCGGAGCGAAGACTGCGGTCATCCCGGTTCGGCTTCCGCCCTGGGCGTGCCACGGCGGACGCGCTCACGCTGATAAGAGAAATGAGAGGACGTAGACATACAAACAAGAGCGATGGCGTTCTACTACCCATCGGTCGGAAGAAGTAGGTAGAAACATGAAGTAGGAAGGCGTTGGAAATAGATTGGGTTTCCGCCCCGCCTCCTGAAGAGGAGGGAAGAGGGAAAACCACTCGATTCTTGAAGTAGGAAGGCGCTGAAAGTAGATTGGAATCTGGGAATCCAAAAATACCTACTTGCAACAACCGAGGGGTACAAACAAGAACGATGGCGTTCTACTACTGCTGTTGGACTGGGCCGAAGCGTTCGATCGTTTGGAGCCAGACGGTCTCTGCAGGTCCTACGGTGCAAAAGATACGGGGCACTCGTCTGAAAGGGCACTTCACCATCATTGACTGTAGCGAGCAGTCGTCGGAACGCAGACAGTTTGCAAGAATTGCGCAAGGATGCCCGTTATCACCGTTTCGTTTCATTGCGGTACAAACAATAATGTTGCACGATGTATTCGAAAACCTGCCTCTTCTGGAAGAGCCCGCATATGTCGTGACAAGGAACATCCTGTATACTGACGACACGCTGCTGCTCTCCCGACACCTGGGAATTTACAAATGATATTGGACGCAATTTTGGAGGGACAGAAGCACGGTCTGGAATTGAATTTGGACAAAAAAAAACATTACATTTTCAAATTTCCACTACGGGCGTGGTGCAGCAGCCAACTGGGGATCCAATCACAACAGAGAGAGAAACACTTTCCCTTGGAGGCTTGATCTCTTGCGATGGTCGCGCCGGAGATGAATTATCTCGAAAGCTGGGGGAATTGGGCGCCACTTCTCGCGATTTGAACAACATCTGGGCGCACACTTCTATAACGTCGCGCCAGATATTGCAGATCTTTTCCGCTTGTGTCGTAAGCAGGCTGTTATAGCCACTGGACTCTTATGGCTTTTGAAACCCGACAGATCAAGTATCGACGCTTTCCAGTGCAAATGCTTTAGACAAATATTGAAGATTCCATGCTCGAGCAGAACACGGGTATCAAATTCTGTAGCGCGGGGAAAAGCATGCGTGAACACGTTGTCGGATCTCTTGCACGATCGTCAAATCCAGCTAGTCGAAACAATGACATTGCTTCCATGAGTTCAGCTTCGATGCCCGTGGAAAACCTTAAGGACAACCTGGGACAAACTGTAACACAATAAGGAACGCTGAGCCCCCCTCAACGAAAAGGGTTCCTTCTTCAGCGGCCCGACTGTATACAGGAAGTAGGAGGAGGTGGAGGAGGAAGAGGAGGAGGAAGGAGGAAGAGGAGGAGGATGGAGAGCAGGAGGGGAAGGAGGTAGGAGGAGGAGGAGCAGGAGCAGGAGGAGGAGGAGGAGGAGGAGGAGGAGGAGACGGAGGAGGGGGAGGAAGAGGATGAGGAGGAGGAGGAAGAGGACGAGAATGACGAATCGCGAGGAGAAGGAGGGGGAGGAGGAAGAGGAAGATGCTTTCGCACGACGCAAGTCCGTTGGGGAGGCGAGTTGTACGAAGCACCAGCGGCACGCCTGAGCAGTGGGCTGTCCAGAGGCGCAGAGGCCGCCCACGACACTGATGGCTGCATTCAGCGTGCCACATGATGTAACATGTTTGAAGGGGCCCTGGGATACACAATAACAGGTTTGCCCTACAATTTCTCATATGTTCTGGGCTTTCATCTTCCCCCCCACTTCCCATATGTTCCCGTACTTTCCTTGGGATCGACGACTACTTGTGTCTGTGTGTTTTCCCCTTCGGAATGTTCATGACATCCATCCTCGTCGTCATCTTTCTCGGCGGTGGACAAACCTCCCTTTAGTAGACCTCCCCTTAGTGAAAAGGGCCTGGGACCGAAACAGACGGACCTGGACCCGCAGAAATGACGGCCGCGACGCCCTCCCGCGAACCGAAAACGGCCAATTCCTCAATCGACGTGTCAGGGTAGGAGGTCCGTCCACCCCCGGCATATGCTCCCGTCTTTTCCTTGGGATCGGCGATTACTTGTGTCTGTGTTTTTCCCCTCCGGAATGTTTATGACATCAATCCTCGTCGCCATCTTTCACCTTCACCACGGCGCCAGCGTTTGGCCGTGCTCCCCCGCCCGCCGCCGCCGTCAGCAGCGTTCGGCTGCTCGCTTGCCCTGCCTACGCGTCCACTCGGATGCTAGGCCGCTGTCCGTCTTTAGGGGGCCACATAGGAACCCTGCCGCTACCCCCCACGATTTCCGAGGGGGAGGGTGGGGTTCACTTCGTTCGGGAGCTCCCGAGCGAAGTGAACCCCACCCCCCCCTCAGAAATTGTGGGGGGTAGGGGTGTATTGGAGCCCTGGTGGGCGCCCTAGTCTTGGGGTGTATTGGAGCCCTGGTGGGCGTCTCGTGTCGTCTCCACGCATCGAGCAGCGGAGCAGGCGACCAGACGAAAATCCTTCAGAAGCGCACGGAAGGAACTCAGCGATGTTTGCCCCCTGGAGCCTCTCGGAGATGAACTTGAAGCCCTCCTGGTGCGCCTCGGGGGCTCCCTGAGCCCGCGAGGGAGCAATGATGGGCGTGCTGGGGCCGCTTTCTAGGAGTCCCCCCCCGTGGGCCTCGCTTGGGGCCCTTGTGACGTGTCCGAGCTCATTGAGGGGGCCGCCTGGAGCCCTCTGGGGTGATTCTGTAGAGGCCTCCCAGATGGGGTCGGAGCAGATGCGGCCGGGGGATCACGCTGCATTGCCGATACATTCGGCGGTGCACCGGCGACGTGGGCGAGAGAATCGGGCTCCGCCTCGAGCCGCATCGCCGATGCAACGGCGTTGCGGGGGCGATCCTCCGGCCCCGTCTCCTCGGACCCCTATCTGGGAGACCCAGAGTGATCCTGGGCGCCTCTCGGGAGGAGGAGGCCCTGGAGGGCTGCGTCCTCCTTCTCGCACCTCGCCTTCAGCCGCTCCAGGGCGGCCTGCCGCGGCGGGCGCCCCCGCCACCGCGCCGCGCCGTCAACGCCGCCGCCGGCCCCGGCGCCGCCCAACGAGCGCCGCCGCGCGGGGCCGGGAGGGGGGAGAGGGGGAGAGAGACGAGGAGCACGAGAAAACGAGGGGGACGAAGGAGGGGACGAGGACAGAGGGCGGTCACGGGGAGCAGGATGCGAAACCGAGGGGAAATGGGGCAGGGGGTGGAGGGGGAGGAGGGGATGGACGGCAAGGGCAGCACTGTGCCACAACTCTCATGCCCGCGGCGCACCAGCGTGCAGGGGGAGGACGGCGAGGAGAGAGGAGAGGGACGTGTGATGAGGAGGGAGACAGGGGCACGGGGATGGCGGAGACCGGCTGGTCGGAGGAGAGACAAGGAAAAGAAGGGAGGGAGGGCAGGAACACAGAAGGGGGATGTAAAGGAGGCAGGCAGGGAGGGCGAGAAGGGAGGAGGGAGGGGGCGAGGGAGGAGAAAGGAGGGAGGCAGGGAGGGAGGGGAGGGAGAGGAGGAGAATTGGAGGAGGAAGGCAGGGAGGGCAGGAGAAGAAGGACTCGGCCCGCGCGCCGCCTCGCCGAGGAGGCCCTCTCGCCCGAAGGCCCCAGGGGGGGCATCCTCGTGTAGCCCGCCGCGCGCCCCCAGCGAGCGAATGCGCCCGGCCCCTGGTCCCAGGCGGCCCAGTGGAGGGAGCAGGAGGAGGAGGAGGAGGGAGGAGGGAGGAGGAGGAGGGAGGAGGAGGAGGGAGGAGGGAGGAGGGAGGAGGGGAGGGAGGAGGGAGGAGGGGAGGAGGGAGGAGGGAGGAGGAGGAGGAGGAGGAGGAGGAGGAGGAGGAGGGAGGAGGAGAAGGAGGAGGAGGAGGGGAGGAGGGAGTAGGAGGAAGAGGAGGAGGAGGAGGAGGAGTTGGAGGAGGAGGAGGAGGAGAAGGGAGTAGGAGGAAGAGGAGGAGGAGGAGGAGGAGGAGGAGGAGGAGGAGAGGAGGAGGAGGGAGGAGGAGTTGGAGGAGGAGGAGGAGGAGGGAGGAGGAGGAGGGAGAACGAGCAGAAGGAGGGAGGAGGAGGGAGGAGGAGGAGGAGACTCGCCATCGCTCGGACGTCCATGCCCTGTGCTTCTTGTTCGGTTCCGCGCGTGGCTTTTTCGCCAGATGATCAGGGATGCTTCTCGATGGTCCCGGGCGGCCCAATGGAGGGAGCAGGAGACTCGCCATCGCTCGGACGTCCATTCCCTGTGCTTTTTGTCGGTTCCGTGCGTGGTTCTTTCGCCAAAAGATCAAGGATGCTCCTCGATGGTCCTCGCCGAAGGAAACAATGCACACACGTCCGAGCGATGCCGAAGAGGAGGGAGGAGGGAGGAGGCAGAGCAGCAAGTCGCAGGGGCCCCCTCCATTCCCAGCTGAGGCAGCTGAGGGGAGACAGAGCAGCGGCCAGAGGGAGCAGGAGACTCGCCATCGCTCGGACGTCCATTCCCAGTGCCTTTTTTCGGTTTCGGGCGTGGCTTTTTCGCCAGATGATCAAGGATATACTCCTCGATGGTCCTCGCCGAAGGAAGCGATGCCGAGGAGGAGGGAGGAGGGAGGAGGCAGGGCAGGAAGTCGCCCCGGCCCCCTCCATTTTCCCAGCTGGAGGGGAGACGGAGCAGCGGCCAGAAAAAGGCTTGGAGGTGCGGACGTGCCCTCCCTCCGACAGGAAGGGGCGCGCATACTCGTCCATCCTGCATCCTCCTCTTCCCCCTCCTCCCAGAGGACAGAGAACTATGCACACACACACACACCGATTCTGGCCAGGACCATCCTGAGCCCAGGATCGGTGCATGCGCCCTCCTGCTCTGGCCAGGAAGGTATGTACACCGATCCTGGGTCAAGGATTGGCGTTGTCGGGATCGGTGCGTGTGCATGGATCTCTTTCCTCTATCCTCCGGCGCAGCCTCCCGCTTCTCACCCTCTGCCATCGTTGCGCTCCCTCCTCGGTGCTCGCTCCTCCTCGACCCCCTCCCCACCTCGCGTCCTGCCCCCATCAACCCTCCTCCCACACCTCCCTCCCTCCTCCCCCCATGCTCGTCCCTCCTCTTCCTTCTCCTCCTTATCCGCAGTTGCACAATATGAATACCATTATCCTCTCCCCCTGCCTCTATGCGAGAGACATGTGGCCCTCTCCGCGTACTGTTGTTTTGTTCAGGCAGGGTTTCGAACACGTGTTTCCATGCGTGTTGTTACAATCCGATTGTTTGCGGTGTTGCAAACTTGTGCTCCCGCTGCAACGTGGGCCTCATGTTCGGATCGGCTATGCCCTCCTGTCGTTCAGACTGGCGCTCTTGCCCCAGCGCGGGCCAAGTTTCTGGATCCGAGTCCCTTGCCATCGATGTCGTCGCCCTCATTTCCCCTCCTATGCCTTCCCCTGGTCATCCTGCTCCTGTTGCTGTTCCTGCAACTGTTCGTCCTCGTCCTCCTCCTTCCTCATCCTCCTCCGGTTTATCCAGCTCATCCTTCTCCTCGAAAAGCACGTTCTCTTTCTCCTCCGTCTCCTATGTACGTAGTTTCCGTTTTCCGATTGCGCATTTCGATGGAGTCTTTGTTGGAGTCTTTCGTGGGAAGCGATGGCAGGGAGAGTTACGATGTCAATCATGACGCGAACGCACCCATCTTGCCTCCCCGCTCTCTCCCGTCCCTCCTCCCCCTCCTCTTCCCAAGGTCAACCAAAAGGTACTGATACCGCTACTCCACGAGCCTTTCCTGGGGTGTGTCCTGACCGGCAGAACGCGGCGAGCGAATCCATTGGTGGCGACGAGAGCCTCCCAGGAGGCCCAGAGAGGTGAAACCAAGGCAGGGGTAGAGGTATACCGACACCTCTTCTGGAGTTATAGAGGAAGAATAACGGCATAAACATAAATGTTCGACGGTCCACGCAGATTTCTTGGGTCCGCGCAGGGGCGGCGACGGAGGCGCCGCTGGGGGCCCCAGCGCAGATCCAAAAGATCCGCGCGGAGAACCAACAAGTTTATGTTTATGCGTTGTTCTTCTTCGATGTTCGTTCTCTTTTCCCCCCCGCCCTCCGCCAGACAGGACAACGACGGCGGCGACGGCGGCGAAGAGCGGCAAGGCGGTCCTTGGACTCGGCGAGGAGCGCGCGGACCTCGCCGCCCTCCCGCTCGAGGCAGGCGGAGGCTGCCGCCTCCTTCTCCTGGCAGGGACGGTGGTCATCTTCCACTTCCTCCACCTCCTCCTCAGACTCCTCCAACTCCTCCCTCCACGTCCACCATCCGTCCTCCTGCTGCTGACCTCCTCCCCCCCTTCTCTTCCTCCTCCAGGTCCTTGCCTTTGTCCTCCTTCCACTCCCTCCCTCCTCCCACCTCCTCCGGCTCTTCCCTTGCCTACTGATGCTGTCCCTCGTCCTCCTCCTTGTCCCGCCTCCGTCCACCCCCCCCCCCCTGGGGGGAGAGGAAGGTGGAGGGGGGGAGGCATGTGGAGGAGGAGGGGCAGCAGGGAGGGAGGGCAGAGGAAGAAAGGCTGGGAGCACGAGGAGAAAACTGCATTGCATGATCCTCACCGCCGTCTCCGCTGGTAGCGAATGTGCAGAGCGCCGCCGGCAACGACTGCGGTTGGCCGGGCAGCGGGCGTCGGACAGTGGTCGGGGGGCTCGGGCGAGTTCTCCGAGCGCAGCATCCAGCCTGGTAGCCCTGGCCGAAACAGCGACCCACAACGCCCCCCAACCAACCTGCGGCAGGTTCGCGTAGCGACGACTGCTGAGTTATCTCGGCTGGCTCTCCTCGGACCTCTCCGCCCCTTCCCCCTCACCGGCGCATCGGCGATGCATTCACGTCGTCGGCGATGCATTGGCGACCTCGGCATAGAGAACAAGGGGCCCCAGCATCGCGCTTCGCGCTCCGCGAAGCGCGAATAACTTCGCGCTCTCGCGCCGCCCCCCCAAAGGGAAAAAAGGAGGACGAGGAGGAGGGGGAGAAGGAGCGAGGACCGCGGAGCGCGAATGACTCCGCGCCCTCGTGGGAGCCCTTGGACCCCCCCCCCCCCAGCGTGGGTCGGCCAACCTTGAACGATCGAGTGTTCTCGGTGGCCAGACCGCTCCGTCTTAGCAGCATCCTCGCCATCGCTCGGACGTCCATTCCCTGTGGTTTTTTCGGTTTCGTGCGTGGCTTCGTCGCCACATGACCAAAGATGCTCCTCGATGGTCCTCGCCGGGGGAAACATGCACACGTCCGAGCGATGCCAAGCGGCAGCCGGACCGCTCCGTCTTGGCAGCAGCTGGGCAACTGGCGGCACCCAGCCTCGAGAGAGCCCGCGGCGGGGTGGTCTCGCCGCGCCGGCGCGACATACACACACACACACACCGCTCACACATGCCTACACTGAAGGGGCCCACAAACACGCAGAGAAATACCCACAAATAAAAGGATTCCCCTATTTTCTCATACTTTCTGGGTTTCTGCCTTCCCCCCCACTTCCCATATTTTCTTAGATTTTCTGGGGAATCGGCGATTAATTGTGTCTGTGTGTTCTTTCCCTCCTGAAGCACCAAGACCACAGCTGTTGTTGTTCACGCCTTAGGCATGTCGCTGCAGTCTGTGAGAGGCGGGTGACGACGACCAGGAACAGCGGGAGCGGGAGGGGGGAGGGGAAGAGAGGAGGCTGAGGAGGAGGACGACGAGGACACGGTGGAGCAGGATCTGCTGGAGCAGGGGGACAACGACTGCGCGCGAGGGCGTGGAGTACGAGGACGAGGTGGAGAAGGCCCAGAAGGACCAGCACAGGGACGGGAAGCAGCAACTGCAAGAATGCAACACGAAGACGAAACAGGGGCGCGCAGGTCCCTCGTGGTCGCCAGCAGCGCCACTTCTACGATGCCGCCCATGCCCTCGGCGCCGCAATACGGCCGCAACCGCGCAGGGCGCGCGCGCAGCGCGAAGAAATGCGGGTGAACAACACAAGGAGGAGGGAGGAAAAGGAGTACGGTAGGTTCGTGCGGCGTCTGCGCGCGAAAAGGTTCCTGCCACCGCGTCGATCGTTGAACCTCGAATCGATCGCGACCCCGATCATTAAAAATAGAATCTCGTCGGGTCGTTTGGCGTTACCGTGTCCCTCGGTGCTTCCGCGTTGCTCTGTCGAGCGAAATTCAACCTTGAACGCCTTCGTTGGCATCGCCGGCGCGCCATCCCCGCATGAACGTACCGCAGGTGGGGACCTGGGAGGAGGATGAGGCAGAGGAGGAGGAGGCAGAGGAGGAGGAGGCAGGCAGGGATGATGAGGAGGATAAAGGAAGAGGAGGAGGAGGAGGAGGAGGAGGAGGAAGAGAAGGACGAGGCGGAAGGAGGTGGAGGATGACGCGCCAGGGGAGGAGGGGGAACATACAGTCGGGGCGTTGACCTAAGGAACCTTAAATAAGGAACGGGGCCCCTCTTGTCCATAAGTGAAACTTTGCTTCCCCATCGAAAACCTAAGCACGACCTACGGCAAGCTACGAAACAATTAAGGAACACAGAGCCCCTCCCCAACGAGAAGGGTTCCTTGTTCAGCGCCCCGACTGTAGAACCTATCCCGAGGGGGTCCCACATCGCACCGCTGTTGGCCTGCCCCATAGGCGCGAAGCGGTGCAGAACCGAACGCCTCGCAGAAGTCGAGGCGACGTGCTGCCTCACGCACGGGGCGCCCGCATGCCTCGCCGCCGCCTGCCCAAATCCTGCCCGCTTGCCGCTCGAGTACAGTCGGGGCGTTGACCTAAGGAACGATAAATAAGGAACGAGGTCCCTTTTCTCCATAAGTTGAACTTCGATTTCCCATCGAAAACATAAGGAAACCCTGAGGCAAGCTGTGAAACAATTAAGGAACACGGAGCCTTCCCAACGAAAAACGTTCCTTCTTCAGGGCCCCGACTGTAGCACAGAAGAACTTATGTGGATGCCTTGACGATTCTTCGCCCCTTGTCGATGTGCGCCTGGATCTTTGCCACGTCGCCGAAGAACTCTCTCATGAAGCCTGACAGAACCACCGCCAAAACACACGCGTGTGCTGAGAACGTGGTGTAGGGGCGTTTGCTCACAACTGGCACGATTGTGGACCGTCCCTGTGTTCTCTCTTCAATGTGTTTCCCGTCCGCTTTTTCCACACACAAACCCAAACCTCCTCCGAACCAGAAAAAAAGCAAAGGCTGGACGCCTGGTGCTCCATAACACAATTACCGTTCCGAATGAGGGATTGGCGAGAAGGCTATACAATGGACGTACGAGACAGGGAGGAGAAGCGGAGAAAAGGCTGACAAGAAGATGACAAGGACTCTGAACGAAGCTCGGGTACTCGGTGCAGCAGGCCCGAAAAATATAGATAGTCCTGTCCAAACGCGACGCCGCGTCGGAATAGACTGCGCGGACGGCAATACAACACATAGGAGAAAGGCTGACTGAGTTTACGGAGACCAAATGGGGTGTGCAACAACAAGGCACACATGCGGCGTGCTGCAACAGAGGTGCGGACAAACAAGGCAGAAGAGAGGTGAGGACGGAGGGAAAAGAGAAGGGATCAAAACAATGGAAACATGGGTACATTTCCTTTGTGAACTGACGTGCGCCCTCCGAACCCTGCCACGGCGCATGCTCGCGACGGCTTGGGCCAACGTTTGCGGGTTTGGCCTACATCCCGCCAGCCTTTTAGGGCGTCAATGGTTTAGCAAGCTCGCGACTCAAACCTATTTCTCCCACAAGTCTCCCAACTCCCCTCCTCTCCTCCAGCCCCAGCCAACCCACGCACGCAGTGCGTCCTTCATCCTTCTCTTGCAGTTCGCACACCTCGGAAGCACCACGACCTCATTATCGAGAGCATGATGCATTGAACCCCGCGCGCGCATCACAAAGTGGTGCTCAACTTGTGTGCCGCCGGGACCGACGAAGCATCGCGCGCCGCTGCTGGCCTGTGGCGCAAGCGCCTCAGTTCCCTGCGGCGGATACCACAGCACCCAGGGTGTGGATACCGCTATGGTGACTCACGAGATCGGGGGCGGTGATACAAATGGGAACAAGAACCGTAACGAAAGAGCTTGGGTTTGCATTCCTGCTGCCCCCCGAGGGGGGGGGGGGGGGGGGGCACTCCCGGCGCGCCTCGGTGCTCGGTGCGGGGGGGCCCGTGAACTCACGATCGCTGCTGGCCCGACCGTCCTCCTCCTCATCCTCCCCCCCTGCGCCAGACACCGCCCTGCCCGCGCAGATGGCCGCCTGAGGCGGCCATCGGCACAGCCCGCCCTGGCGGTCGCTTCCAGTACCCAAGAGCCGCCGCCTGCTGCCCCCCCCGGGGCTTGGCCGCACCCAGAGTGCTGCGGACCTCGCCCTTCTCGGGGGGGAGACGAGGGAAAGCGGAGGAGGCGGTGGAGGCGGAGGGGGGGAGGAAGGAAAACGGAGGTGGGGCTGGAGGGGAAAAAAGTGAGGAGAAGCGGGAAGGAAAAGGAGGGATGAGGAAGAGGATGAGGAGGAGGACGAGAATGAAGCTGATGATGACAATGAGGATGAGGATGCGGATGCGGATGGGGGTGAAGGTGAGGATGGGGATGATGATGGTGATTATGTTGATGATGACGGCGGTGATGCTGATGTGGAGGAGGAAGGAAGAGAAGGGAGGGAGCAAGCGGCGGAGGGAGGAGAGGCAGCAGGAGGAGGGACGAGGAGCAGGAGGACTCCTCCTGCTCCTCATCCCTCCTCCTCCTCGTCCTCCTTCTCCTCCTCCTCCTCCTGCTCCTCGTCCTGCCTTTCCTCCCTCGTCCTCCTCCCCCTGGAGGAGGAGGAGGGAGGGAGGGAACGCAGCAGCGCGCAGCTGCAGCACCAGGCGGTAAGGAGAAGCCAGCCCCCACCCGCAGGCCAGGGCGCGCCTCCGCCGGCGCTCGCGGGCGCGCCCGTCGGCCGGGCCTCCAGAGCAGGGGGTCGGGGATCGCTACACGTCGGGTCGGTCAGCAGAAGAAGTCAAAACACATGAAGTAGGAAGGCGGATAAAGTGGATTGGGTCCAGGCCCTCCCAGAGAATACCAAAACACAGCCAAAGCGTGTCGATGCTTGAAGTAGGAAGGCGCTTGAAGAAGATCGGGATCTGGGAATCCAAAAATACCAAATTTTGACAACCGTCGTGTACAGGTGCCCCTGGCCCAAAAGGTCCGAGTGGGGGATTGACTACAGCACTGAGGTACCCCAGAGCTAAATTTCCCGCCGAATCTGCGGAATCTAGAAACATACTGCGTATATGTACATATATGTATATATGTGTATATACAAATATATATATAGAATGTCCCGCAGATCTACGAACATCCTACGTGTTTTTTTGTTCCCCCAAACTCGGCGGGGAGAACAAGTCTGGAGTACATCAAGTCTGTCGTTGGTCCACTATTTGACAGGTGCCCCCAGCGTCCCGCACAGTTCGGGAGCCCTGGGGCCCCCCGGGGCACTCCCAGCAACACTCGCAGGGGGGAGGGGGGTCGGCTCTGGCCATCACTCGTACGTCCATTCCCTGTTTTTTTTGGTTTCGTGCGTGGTTTTCGCCAAATGATCAAGGATGCTCCTCGATGGTCCTCGCCCAAGGAAAAACGCACACGTCCGAGCGATGCCGAGGGCTGACAACGTGGTGATTTCGGGCAACAAGCAATGGCACAAACATGTCGCGTCGGCGGCGGGGCAGGGGAGGTCTGCGCTGGCGCAAAAGCCTAAACGGGGGGGCCGTTACACCATGCAAGCAGGGAAGCAGGAGGAGGACGCGGCCGGCAATGACACAAACACAAAAGCTCGCAGCACCGCGCTGGTTTCTGCGATTGGCGCTGGGGCCCGCTGTCGGCGCCTCCGGCGCCTCCCCTGCGCCAAAATCGGCAAACCAGCGACGCACCAGCACCCTTGACAAAAACTGCCCTGTCGCTTCCAGGGCCCACTGAGGTCCGCCCCGCTGCCGCCACCAGCGCCTCTGTCACTGCCCCACCCCTGAGAGGCAACGATAAGGATTAGGTCGGGCATGTCCTACTACATGCGGATTTGAAAAGACAGCAAAAAACGTTAAATTAGCCTGGCGAAGAACCCAACCATATGCAATTGTGAGTACCGCAGTTGTGAATATCGTCTTCGGTGGCGCTCCCTATGGGGACACGAAGCGCTGTAATGGGTGGGCGAAACGCAGGGAGCAAGGGCTGTGCTGGGTGGTGGCGGACGCATGCGGGCGGTGCCACTGGGACCTTCTGTGGAGCTCCCTATGGGGGCACGAAACGCTCTACTGGGTGGGTGGGACGGAGCAAGGGCTGTACTGGGAAGTGGCGGGCGCATGCGGGCGGTGCCACTGGGACCTTCGGTGAAGCCACCAATGGGGTCACGAAGAAACGCTGTACTGGGTGGGCGAAACGAACGGAGCAATTGCTGTGCTGGGTGGTGGCGGACGCATGCGGGCGGTGCCACTGGGACCTTCCGTGGAGCTCCCTATGGGGCCACGAAACGCTCTACTGGGTGGGTGAAACGCAGGGAGCAAGGGCTGTGCTGGTTGGTGGCGGACGCACGCGGGCGGTCCCATTGGGGGCGTCGGTGGAGCTCCCTATGGGGCCACGAAACGCTGTGCTGGGTGGGTGAAACGCGTGGAAGAAGGAGGAGGGAGGGGAGGAATGGGAGGAGGGGGAGAAGGGGGAGGAGGAGGAGAGGAGGAACGCGGTCACCGTCTCTTCAAAACGAGGTCCCAACACCACAGGATGGTTGGGAACTATTGTCATAGCAACATTAAACAATCCCCTGACGATGTTTCCTTTCTTGAGTATTCTTCCTGTACAGGGACATGCCTGACTGAACGATGAGGAGGAACTGGCTCAGGGGGGGGAAGGAAATCAACCTGAATTCGGCGATGCACTGCCGATAGATCGGTCACATGCCCCCGTTCGCAAAGCGCTCGACGATCCATGGGCGAGTGGGGGTCGATGGTACATCCCACCCCGAGCTCGTCCTCCCCGAACATTGCCCCAGAGACCCCTTCCTCCACAGCCCCCAGCGCTCGCGCAGCGGGCACTCGCGACGCGGGCGACGCGTCTCACGCGGAGGAGGAAATGCGATGGGGCATCCGCGGGCGACGCGCGCAATGAATCGGAGGAGGAGGAGGACTGGCGGCGCGCCCAAGGGTAAGACGAAGCCAGCACGAGGACACAATCGGATGAGGGTAAATCGCGAATCTCTGAGATCTGGCGGCTATGGAGGATGTCTCGGGCGCCTCGGCCTTCTCAGAGCGTTCCGGAACGCTCTGAAAGCGTTCGGAAACGCTCCAGAGCGGATTTATCCTCGTCCTAGCCCCGTCCAAAATGGGGTGAAGGGAAAGTGGAGGGATTCTTAGACGGAGGCTGCTTCTTCGAAGGAGCCGGCCCTACACCTACAGATGAGGCCCGCGACTTCTCACAAGCAGGGGAGCTTCTAAGAAGCCCTTCCCTCCTCCCCCCGCCCCCCCCTGCGCGTGGCTGAGCCCGGGGGTACCAGCTCAGAGGGAAGACATCGACCCGGAGTCGGCGATGCATCGCAGAAAGGCGAGGGGCACTCCAGGGCGACTCCGCACGGTCCTGGGCGGGGTGGGGGTCGATGCTCCTCCTCCTCCTCCTCCTCCTCCTCCTCCTCCTCCTCCTGCGGGTAAGATCTCCCGCACTGCAATCATTTTCTCGGCGGCGAGCGAGAAGGCCTGCTCAGAGGACTGCGAAGTCCCCCGGCCTCCCGAGAAGTGTCCTAAGCCCTCGCCGAGGGCACAGAACACCTCTCAGAAGGCGCGAGGGCTCCTGGGAAGTCGCCGCCTTCTGAGAAGGCCTTCTCCTTCTCACTCCCCTTAGGTCGGGCATCTCCCCCTACAGGCGGATTTTGGGCGAAAAATGAACCATGCCTCAAACATGCAACAAAAATAAAACATCAGAACAAACCGTCGAAACGTCGCCCCCTATACCATTGTTCGACCGTCTTTGAACGCCCCGTCTGTGGAGGGGCAGGCCCGACTACAGCCCTTCCCCCCCTCGCTCGCCGCCGAAGCTCCTTTCGATGCGTGGGCCCCTCTGCGACGAGGCCGGGGGCGGTCCTGGGGCAGCCTCGGGAGAAGGAAACCACCACCGCCGCAGCACGGGGGGCGGGGGTGGGTGGGGGGCGCGCGCGAGGTCGCGCTCTGCACCAAAAACACACACACTGTTGGAAAACACACACACTGTGGGAAACACACACACACACACACACACACACACACACACACACACACACACACACACACACACACACACACACACACACACACAAAACACACACACAAACACACACACACACACACACACACACTGAGGGAAAAACACACACACAGTGGGAAACACACACACACACACAAACACACACACACACACACACACCGTGGGAACAACACACACACACACTGTGGGAAGACAAACACACAAAAACACACACTGTGGGAACAAAAACACACACTGTGGGAAAACACACACACACACAAAAACACACACCGTGGGAAAACACACACACGGTGTATTTTTTCCCTCGGGAGAAGGCAAAACCACCACCCGCCGCAGCACGGGGGGCGGGGGGGGGGCGTGGTGGGGCCGCGCGCGGGGTTGCGCTCTGCGCCGCGCGGGGGGGCGCGGCCCTTCCCACCCCTTCGGGTAGGGTATACGTTGCTCCCATCGTACTTGAGAGGACCACATCCCAGAAATTCGCCGGGGATCGTGGCCTCCGAGGGGGGGGGGCTGTCAACGACTACCCCCCCTCCCGCCCCAAGGGGCCCCAAGAGCCCCCCAAGAGGCACCAGGGGAGCCCAATACGCCGCCAAGGAGCCCCAAGACGCTCCCAAGAAGCCCCCAAGAAGCCCCCAAGACGGCCCCAAGAGGCTCCAAATAGCGCTCCAGGGCCGGCGGAATGAGCGAAGCGATTAAATAATTTCGAGCACCCAGAAAAATGTCAACAGAGTGTCGAGGAAGAGTGTCGAAGCAGTGTCGGGCGAGTGCTTCCCAGGGCCCGAAAGGTTGAAAACCCTGGAGTCTCGGCACTTTTTGGGGCGCTCGAGATTCTTCCTGGTGATCACGGCTAAAGTAGGTTGGAGCATCATCACCCTCGGGTAGGGGATCGTCCACAGACTGGATGCACCCAAAATTGACTACAGAATTCGCGTGCCCCAAGAAACTGACCGCCACGCCGATCTCGCAACCACAAATGCGCAGTGTGCTCGTGGAGCGACGAGAGATCTACTCATGCTCCGTGGACTCGGCGGCGACGACGACGACGACGACGACGACGACGACGACGACGACGACGACGACGACGACGGCGGCGGCGGCGGCGGCGGCGGCGGTGACGACGGCGACGACGACGGCGACGACGACGGCGACGAGGAGCCCACCGGGGCAACGACGGGGCGCCCCGCCGTCCCTGTGGGGGGGCCGGGGGGGGGAGGGGGCGGAGGGGCAGGAGGTGCGGCGGTTGCGCCTACACTGCGGCCAAGGGTGGGCACCACCCGACCGTGCAATCTCGCGTGCTCTCGGGGGCGAGCCCGCAGGTGTCAAGTCAGGCGGGGGCGAGCCTGCTCAAACGATTCACCAAGAGAGGTCCCCAAAACCTTTGGCAGGGGACTGGAGTTGGGAGGGCCAGGAAACATCAGGGATAAAGGGGTGATTTCTGCAGGCGTATCGAACCAATCCGCCCAGGATTATGACCCCTGATGCAAATTTCGGGGACCTCAGTGACGCCACGTCTCCATCGTGATATGAGGGCCAATGGTTCTTTTACACTCTCGATGAGCAAGGGCTCGGAAGGCATCCGGCCTTCCGAGCAATCCTCTGAGCCTGCTCCGAAGACGGGGGCGGCTTCTCGGCAGGCCGGGGGGGCTTCTGGGAAGCTCGGCCGCCTTCCGAAGAGGCCTGCCCTCTTCTCGCCTTCCCTCGGGGCTCGCCGCCGAACGACGAGGAGCCCAGACATGCGACGTCCTGTGTTTTTCGATGCGCGGCCCCGAAGTCCCGACCAGGGCTGGACCTAAACGTTGCTTTTCGTTTTGTTGTTCGTTTTGCTTTCATTTTTGTTCCTGTACATCGCTGCCTCGACGGTCCCCAGCCCCAGTGACCCCCAGGCCCGGCGAGGGTCCCGAGAGGCCGAAAACGATGATAAACCTCCCCTTATAATTTTTTTCGACGCGAGCATTCTGTCTGGGTTGGCTGCTCATTCTGGGGACCTTCCTGGAGCCACTCGCTCCACTCGTGCGTCGAAACTGCGTCGAACGCCCGTCGGTTCGAGTCGACTTCGAGTCGAACCTGAGTAGAACTCCTGAGTCGAAATTGAAACGAACTCGAGTCGAATCTGAGGTCAAACTGGAGTCGAACAGATCCGATAGGTGGACCCTGGGAATGGGGAAACCAAATCAGGTGTGCCCTAGGAGTGGGGAAACCAAAAGGTACCGATACCGCTACTCCCTGGACCTCTCCCGGGGTGCGTTGTGACTGGGATTTCGAGACGAACCCAGAGGTGGCGCCGAGGGCTTCCGAGGAGGCCCACAAAGGGAAAACGAGGGGATGGTAGAGGTATACCCTTTCCTCATATGAGGGAAGGTCCTCAAAACGACTATCTAAAGAAGGAGGCCCGAACGCCCCGGCCGGGGCCGCTCCGACCGGGGTTCCGCTGTGGATTCCTGCGGGCTCCTTTGGATTTCGATGGACTATCGCGGAGTCATGGGTAGTCCGAGAGATTTCTGAGGATCCCAGGGGATTCTTTAAGATTCCTGGCGGCCCCTGGCTGGGTGGGCCTTGGGACGGTCCTCAACCGGCTGTTAAGAGCTTGCTTCTGTTAGACTCGGGCAAGTTTACTTGCATGGACGTGGGGGCTGAGCCTGAAGCAAGCCGATAACGCTTTGACGTGCGGAAATCACGCCAGCCGAGAGGCACCTGCACGCTCGCACTCGATCGAAGCGGGGCGAGGGTCAGGTCGGGCGAAAGGGGGGGATAGCAAAAGGGGGGGGTGAGAATCAGCTCGCGTAGCTGACTTTCCCGGCGCCTCCCAGCGCCGGAAGCGGCCAGGTATCGAGGAATCACTGCGCGCAGTAGATTTCGGTACCCCCCCTCTCCCAAGCCCCACCCCTGTTCGTCCGGCCAGAGAGAAGGGGGAGACGGGGGGGGGGTGCGCGAACGCCATGCCAGTAGACTCGCCTGGATCTAAAAGAAAGCATGCTCCAAAACTTGGACGCCCGAAATTGGTACGGAAAGAATGGGCACAATGCCCAACAACAAATGTTGTCCCCAATCAACAGCGGCCGCGGTTGGGCAGGCGGCCCTCTGCCCCAAATGGACTCAGGCCGCGGCGACACCGACGGCGAGTCCTGCTCAGAATGAACAGGAACTGCTGCTGGGCATTGTGCCCATTCTTTCCGCACCCATTTCGGGCGTCCACATATGAAGGGGCCCTGGGACACACAAATAAATACACACAAATAAAAGGATTCCCCATATGTTCCCATATTTTCTGTTTTTTTGTATTTCCCCCCACTTCCCATATTTTCCCATATTTTCTGGGGAATCGACGGTCAATTGTGTCTGTGTGTTCTTTCCCCTCCAGAAGAGAAATGAGCCCGACCGCCCACGAGGGGCGCCCCAGCTGGGGGCGCCCGCCTGCTTGCCGTCCCCCGCCCTGGCCGCCAGCAGCGCGGCGGGCTGGGAGGCCTCGCGCGCCTGGGGCGCGCGCGCGGCCCGGGGGCGGCGCGCGCGCACCAGTGGGGGGGGGGGAGCTTGCCGTCGCTCGGACGTCCATTCCCTGTGCTTTCTTCGGTTTCGTGCGTGGCTTTTCCGCCAGATGATCCAGGATGCTCCTCGAGGGTCCTCGCCGAAGGAAAAGTGCACACGTCCGAGCGATGCCAAGACCAGTGGGGGGGGGAGCGGGGCACGTCAAAATCCGGGGCCGAGGAGGGAGGCTCCGCTTCCTCGAGCGTGCCCAAGGGGGGCGCCGCGGTCCTCGAGTTCACCCTGCCGCATCTGAAGTGGCAGAGGCAGCAGCTGTAGCTGGCCTCTGCGCCTCCGTGTCCTCCCCCTCCTCCTCCTCCTCCTCCTCCTCCTCCGCTCCAATTCCTTACACCTAACCTCTCCCTGTCGCACCCCGAGGACTTTTTTTGGGGGGCGGTCCAGGCGTTTCGCCTGAGGCAGCATCACCATTTATGACCCTGAAGCTTTAAACATGATAACAGCTTCACAGATGGAGGCAGGTCGTGTTCCAAAAGTTTGCTCTCGCCAGCTAGCGCCGCGCACATTCGTTTAGAAAGTTGAAAGAGTTTCACTGCATTAAGGGCGTTTCTTTCAATATGTGGCTCTCGCTTCAGCGCCGCGCGCATTTCGTTTTTCCAAATTTGCAAGCGCTTCACGGATTGAGGGCCTGTGCCGTTTTCAACATGTGTTACTCGAAATAGCTCCGCGCACATTCGTGTCAAAAAGTCAAAAGGAGTTCACGATAAGGGCAAATTCCTTTTCAAAAATTGGCTTCGCCTTACGACCGCGAACATTCGAGGGTTTATCAAACTATATATATATATATAAAGAGTTCACGGTTCCAATGACCAGCGTACCAAAACTGGGCTTTGGAATGATTTCCGTTATGCAGGTGCAACAGTTACGTGCTTGCGGTGTCGGAAATCCCAAGAATGGCGTTCTCTCACGATTCGGGATCGTCGAGACGCAACAGTCAGGCTGATCCGTGGCGTTGGAATCCAGAGAACGATGTTTTGGCATGCATCAGGGTCTTGCAACGTTTGCTTTTCCACCGAGGCACTTCCCTCAGTGGAAGTTAGAACCCCGTAGGGCCTATGAAGACGGAGCGTGGAGGTGAGGGGGATGTATTTCAAACCCATCGTTGATAGCTTAGATCTCCTATCTTGGGTTTACACGGGTACTCCTCCTCCTCCCTCCCTTCCTCCTCCTCCCCTCTCCTCCTCCTCCCCCCTCCCGCCCCCCCCCGCTCCTTCCTCCGCACCCTCCACATCCTCCTCCAGTCCTGCTCCCTCCCTCTCCCTGATGCGCCCATGCTATTACTGCCCCAATACTCCTCATCCATAACCCACATTACCCTTCACAGCTTATCCTCCCCCTGCTCCTAGGTCCTCCTCCTCTCCTCTTCCTCCTCCTCCTCCTCCTTATCCTCCTCAGATTCGTCCTCCTCCTCCTCCTCCTTCTCCTCCTCTTCCTCCTCCTCCTCCTCCTCCACTCTTCTTATCCTCCTTCCTACTATACTCATCCTGCTGGCGCTCCCCATCCCATTTTTTCTCATCGACGATTCTCGCATCAACAACACACCTTCTCCGAGGCCTTGAGCAAAAGAGGTTGGAACAGCAGAGATGCCGTGCGATGCCTGTTGAACACAACTAAAATGATTGTGCGGGGCTAGTGTCATTGAAGGCAGCTAACTCTCCATACAAGGACAAGCGGCTAAGTTAGCAACTTACGTGATACGTTCGAAATGAAAGGCTGTCCTCGAACAAAACAACGAATCCGCTGCATAATCATAGGCAATCATGTGTTAGTCAGCGTGGACCCCGAGCAGTGTTGTACTGCACTGTGGAGGTGAAAGCTGTGCGGCGTAGGTCATCGATGCGACAACCATGCGGTGCGTGTGAGCTATGCGGTGTGAGCTGGAGGCGGAAGTATTGGGCGCAAGCCATAGGGTGTGAAGCTATGCTCTGTAACCAAGCGATGCGGTGTAAGCTATGTGGCGTAAGTGGTGAAAGCTACTCGGGAGCGGCCAAGAGGGGGGTGTCCAAGAGGGGGTGTGTCCAAATCATGACTGGCGGCACGTGCGCGGCCCAGCAGGGGGGCCAGGGACGGAATGAGATAAGACGAGGCCCCATGAACTCTGGGGAAAGATCATGGCCCCCGCCATGATATCCCCCCCCTAGTCATCACCCCCCTCTCTGCTGCCCCCGCCTTGCGCTACCTCCGGAGGAGGAGGAGGAGGGGGAGGAGGGGGAGGTGGAGGAGGGGGAGGTGGAGGAGGGGGGAGGAGGGGGGGGGGGGGAGGAGGAGGAGGAGGAGGAGGGGGAGGGGGAGGAGGCGGGAGAGGAGGGGGAGGAGGGGGAGGAGGGCAAGCTAGGTGCGCTCGCGTCATATCTGACGTCCTACCCCTCCCTCCCATCCCTTACCATGGCGCTGATTTTCTCTATCCGCGGACGCGTGTCGTAGCGGACCTGTGGCTCCGCGCGCGCGTGCGTAGTGGGTGGTGGTGCACGTGCGTGCGTGCGTGCGTGTGTGCGTGGTTGTCGTGGTGGTGGTGGTGGTGGTGGTGGTGGTGGTGGTGGTGGTTGGTGGTGGTGGTGGTGGTGGTGGTGGTCGTGGTGTGGTGGGTGGTGCTGCTGCTGGTGGTAGGGGTGCTGGTGGTGGTGGTGTTGTGGTGGGGTGGTGGTGGTGGTGGTGGTGGTGGTGGTGCGGCTCGGTGGTGGCGGGCGGATGGGCGCGCGAGAAAGAGGCCCGCGCTGGGGCGAGAACGCCATCCTGAACGACGGAGGCCAAACACCGATCCGAAAATGAGGCCCACGCTGCAGCGGGAGCACGATTCGGAACGATTCGGGAGCAGAAATGAGGCTGGCGCCTCAGCGAGAGCAGCATTTTGAAAAAAAACGCAGGCGAAAACCCGTTTCCCGGGAATCCTGTGTGTAAAAAAACAGTACGCGGGGGGGGGTCGGATATCTTCGGGACGCCATCAGGGGAAGTGGGAGAGTATTTTCATATTGTGTAATTGTGGAGGAGGAGGAGGAGGAGGAGGACGGGGAGGAGGAAGGGGATATGGGGGAGGGGGAGGAGGGGGAGGCCCACGAGGCGACCACGAGGCGCCCACGAGGCTGCCTGGGCAGGCACGCGCGGCAGCGTGGCGCGACCTCGGGGAGCCCACCCAGCGCACGGGGCGCGGCCATGAAGCGCCGCCGAGGCAGCGTGGCAGCGTGGCGCAGCCTCGGCGAACCGATCCACTGGCCGTCGCTCGGACGTCCATTCCCTGTGTTTTTTGTTGGTTTCGTGCGTGTTTTTTGTTCGCCAGATGATCAAGGATGCTCCTCGATGGCCCTCGCCGAAGGAAAAATGCACACGTCCGAGCGATGCCAAGTCCAAGCACTGTGAGCATGTAAGTGGGACCCCCTAGTTGCAAGCGCAGTTTGGAGGAACAAGTATACCCAATTACGGATATGCGAAGTGAAATGCGTACGGTCGGATGCAGCTCTTAGACCTGTACTGCAACCATCCCATGGAAGGAGGCTGTGCGCGCGACCCGGGTGCCACTGAAACAAGATCTCGGCCGTGCTCATGCCAACCAAGAGAAGTGCGGCATGCACGCCGCCTTGACGACCTCTGTGAAGCGGGGGAAATGGTCAATCAGCAGGCCGTCGGCTCTAATGCCCATTGGCGTTCTCGCGTCACTTCCTTCCCTCCGGCGTCACACGTGACCAACTTCGGGATTAATATGCATTCGCTTGCACCCACGCCCAGACCAACGCATGTCCCGATATGCGTGCTGATTGTTTCGCTGAAGATGACGGCGGCTGTGGGGGGACTGTCAATGGCATCTGGAATGGCATCGGAGGAAAAGGAAGAAAAGGAGGGACTGGAGGAGAGGAAGAGACTATGCGGGGAACCGCGTGCAACCAACCCCACACGCATATACCACGTGTCGAACAAACATTATCCATCGCACGAGCATTACCACTACCTTTGGCTCTACACCCGTCTGTCTCTCCCATCGTTCCCTCTCGCTGTCGTTCTGGCGTTTTCTCTCAATCTCTCTCTCTCTCTCGTGTTCTCTCTCACTCTCTCTTCCCTCGCTGCACACGAAACATAGATCTCAATGCGGATGTATATACTCATGTATAACCATACACATATCCAAGTATCACAGTCTCGCTCCATGTCGCTGTCACGTTCTTACTCTCTCTACCCACCATCCTTGTCTGCCCCGTCCACCTCCTCCTCTTTCTCCTCCCAGCCATTCTCCCGCCCTCCTCCGACCCTCCTCTCTGCTCCCTCCTCGATTCCCTCTTTTTTTAACAGACCCCCCCACCCGCCCGTTCCTCCTCCCCTTGCTCCTGATCCCCCCTCATCTTGCCTCTTCTCCTCCACTTACCATTATTATCACCCCTCCCTCCTCCTTGGGTGCTCCTCCTTGGGTGCTCCTCCTTCCTCCCGGTGTTTCTCCTCTTCCCGCTACTCCCGCCCTCATCCTCCTCCTATCTCCACCCTTCCCTCTCCTCCTCCTCCTCCTCCTCCTCCTCCTCCTCCTTCTGCCCATCATCACACCAGGGTCTCTCCACATCCCCTTCAAGCTCTCGCTCGCCCTTTCCACTCACACCTCATTTTGCCCCTCCTCCTCCTCCTCCGTCCTCTTCTTCTCCACTATCGTCCTCGTCAACATCCTCCTTCTCTCTCTTCGTCCCGTTCCATCTCCTTTGCCCTCCCCTCCTCCTCCTTGTCCTCGTCGTCGTCGTCGCCCTCCTCCTCCTCCTCCTCCTCTTCCTCCTCCTCCTCCTCCTCTCGGGTCGGGCGAAAGGGGGGGATAGCAAAGGGGGGGGTTGAGAATCAGCTCACGTAGCTGATTTTCCCGGCGCCTCCCGGCGCCGGGAGGCGCCCATGTATCGAGGAATGGCCCCCTCGGTGAGGCCGAAACAAGCTGCATGCAGCAAATTTCGTAACCCCCCCTTTCCCAATCCCCCCCTTTCGCCCGGCCCGATCCTCCTCCTCCTCCTCCCTTCTTCCCCTCGCGCCAGTGCCCCCGCTCCCCCTCCCGGCCTGTAGCAACCCTTGCTGGCTTTGCAGCGCCAGGGTGTGTTCCCTACTGGCGCATTGGCCGATCAAGCGGGGTGGACTTGAGCACGCTGTCAACGAGAAGAGGGAGGGAGCGGGAGGGGAAGGGGGAAGAGAGGAGGGGGAAGGAGGGGAGGAGGGGGAGGGGAAGGAGAGGAGGAGGGGGAAGGGGAAAAGGGGGAGAGAGGGAAACGGAGTACGGAAGGAAATTATTGGGGGAAAGAGGGGGGGCGGAAGGGGACGTGGAAAGAGGGGGAGGGGAATGATGTTTGTACTGGGGTGTGGCCGACGGTGCATGAGTGCGGCGGCGGGCATAGAAAAAGAGAGAAAGAGAGAGCAAGAGAGAGAGAGAGAGAGACAGAGAGACAGAGAGAAAACAAAACACGGAGACAGAGACGAGCAGGACGGAGGAAGAGGAGGAGCCGGAGAAGGACGAATTTGATAGTCTGAAGAGGGTGCTGCACGGAGGCGGCAGCATCGCTAATAGCGGCTTCTTGTCCCACCACCTCTGAACGAGCAGAAAGACACCGATGCCGCCACTCCGTGGGTCTCTCGTTTGGGCGCGGCTTGATCAGGGTTCCGCAGCGAAATCAGACGTGGCCCCATTCGGCCAGAAATGCTGCCCCAGACGGTCTGGTTTGACACCCTCGAGGGCTCCAACTTGCCAACCAGCGCTTCGCTCGAGACATCCTCACGAAACCGAAGGAGTCGGGGCCATCACTGAGGCAAGCCGCCTGAGACATCCCCGCAATCTGGCCGCGAATGGAGCAGTGCCCCCACCGCTGGCGGCTCCCCCTGGGGGTACTGAAGCCAGCGCCTCGCTTGAGACGGGGGAGGGGGCGAGGAGGAAGAGCAGAAAAAGGGAGGAGGAGGAGGAGGAGGAGGAGGGGAGGAGGAGGAGGAGGAGGAGGAGGAGGAGGAAAGGGGGGAGGAGGAGGAGGCGGAGAGGGCCTCCTCCCTCCTCCCCATCCTCCTCCTCCTCCTCCTCCTCCTCCTCCTCCTCTCCTCCTCCTCCTCCTCCTCCTCTCCCCTCCCCCCCTTCTCCCTCCTCCTCCTCCTCCTCCTCCTCCCTTTCCTCCTCCTCCTCCTCCTCCTCCTCCTCCTCCTCCCTTTCCTCCTCCTCCTCCTCTCCTCCTCCTCCTCCTCGTCCTCGTCCTCCTCCTCCTGCTTCCTTTCCTTTCCTCCTCCTCCTCCTCCAGCTGCCTTTCCTCCTCCTCCTCCTCCTCCTCCTCCTCCTCCTCCTCCTCCTCCTCCTCCGCGCGAGCGTCTGTGCCGCCACCTGGCGGCGCCCACGACGGTGGAGGCCAGCCCACAGGAAGCAGTCCGCGAGAAACACGACCCCGGGACACCAGGGCGTCCATGGATGTCCGGCGTGGGAACGCCACGCTTTCCTGGCCATCGATCGGACGTCCACTCCCTGCGCCTGTTTTCGGTTTCGTGCGCGGTTTTCTTTTCGCCAAATGATCAAGGATGCTCCTCGATGGTCCTCGCCGAAGAAACAAAACTAAGCACACGTCCGAGCGATGCCAAGAGGCAAGAGGCTCTCCTGGGAAGGCTTCTTGGACGCCGGGCTGTCTTCTAAGAAGCGCCCCTGCCTTCCTGGAAGACGCGCCGCCCTCGGAGGGGCCCACACACCAGCGGCGCCAACCCCCCGTGTGGGCGCTGCCAGGCCACAGGGTCCACAGGAGCTCCAGGCTGTTTCTTGCTGAGCAGGTGCCGTCGGCCCAAACCGCTCGAGACAAACGGGCTGCGGGCCAATCGCGTCGGGGGCATTGCCAAGGTTCGGGGCGGGCTGGGTGGACCGCAGAGGGGGTAACGAAGCCTCAGAAGCTCCGATCTTCGATCCTTCGATCCTTCGACTCTTCGATCCTTCGATCGTCGATCTTCGATCCTCGATCCTCGATCATTCGATCCTCGATCCCTTCATCCGCATCGATGCGTCGAGATATCGGAGGATCAACCACTCGAGAGTCGAAGGCTCGAGGGCTCCAGCGGGGCACGCGACGGGGAAGTCAGAGACTCCTTGTAGTTCTCCGCACCGAGTGGGCATCCGAAAGCAAATCACAATTCCCTCGTCGTCCCACCTCCTCCTCCATCTCCTCGCCACTCCTCCTAGTCCTCCTCTGCTTCTCTCCTCGCCCCTTTTCCTCCTCGTTCCTTGTGCCCCTCCTCCTGGTCCTCCTCCCTCCCTCTCTCCCAGACACAGGCCACCTCCTGCTTCTCCTCCTCCTCCTCCTCCTCCTCCTCCTCCGTTCCCTCGCCGTCTGGTTTGACGGCCACCAGGGTTCAGCGCCAGGAAGACAACGAGAGGAACTATGGGGGAGGAGGAAACGGGGGGGGAGTGACGGGAGAGACGGGGGAGGGGGAGGAAGACGACGGCGACGATGAGGACGAGAACAGGGAAAAAGAGGAGGACGATGAGGAGGTGATGAGGGGGCGGGTGGAAGACGAGGAGAGCAGGAGAGCAGGACCAGGAGGGGAGCTTGAGGAGGTGGCGGAGGAGAGGGCCTGACGACCTGAAGGCATGAAGACATGAAGCCGGATCCCCTCCAGCAGGAGGTCGTGGGATATCGGCCTGACGACCTGAAGACGTGAAGACTTGACGGCCTTCATGCCTTCATGCCTGCAAGCCCGAAGACCTGAAGACTGCGTGGCTTCATGCCTTCATGTCGTCGTCCCGACGACCTGATCTTCGCGTCTTATATCGTCATGTCGTCGGTCCGACGACCTGATCTTCGCGTCTCCATGCTTTCATGTCGTCGGGGCGACGACCTGATCTTCACGTCATGTCTTCGTGTCGTCGGGCCGACGACCTGATCTTCATGTCGTCATGCCTTCAGGTCGTCGAGCCCCACCCCGGGCCAGGGCCCCCTAAGACGAGACATGCATGTATTCATGCCCTCATTGTTGGGCGAAGGTCGCGGGACCCCACAGCCATTAGACGAGCGCGTTCCCGTACTCGCAAAGTCTCTACTCGCAAATGACCTGGATCCGGCGCGGGGAATCCAGGATAATTTGCTTCGAGGCAGACATATGTTTTTCGGACGTTTGCCAGTAGGCACTTTGCGAGTAGTGGGACGCGCTCGGTCAGCCATCGGAATGCAATTCTGGGGCAAATCAATCCTGTAGTCGCTCTCCTCCTCGAAGGGTGAAGGGTTGGGGCTTGGGTTGGTGAGCCTGTTTTCCACCACCACCATCATAAGCTGGAGAGGGAGGGTGTCCTCCTCCTCCTCCTCCTCCTCCTCAGCCGTGCAGGGAGGGATACAAATACTGCCCCAGCTGGCCTCCGAGCTTGAGGCTCCGTCCTTGCGGCCCCCCGAGGGGCAGGGGGCTCGAGACTAGAAGCAGATAAAAAAAGCGTAAACGCAAGCTATCGACGGCCCGCGCGGATCTCTTGGCTCTGCGCTGGAGCGCCGGAAGGCGCCGCCGGGGGGGAGGGGGGGGAGCGCAGATGCAAGACATCCGCGTGGAACGTATGTATGTATGTATGTATGTATGTATGTATGTATGTGTATGTATATATATATATATATAGAACCATCGCGCGCTCTTCGCGCGCTCAAGTTCTAGCTAGGATCCTCGTAACCGTCACCATCGCCATCCTCATTGTCATCATCTTCATCGTCATCGTCATCGACATCGTCATCATCACCATCGCCATCACCATCAACACCACCATCATCAACGCAACCATCAGCAGCACCATCGTCATCACCGTCGTCAACATCGTCGTCATCATCACCCGCATCACCATCATCATCGTCATCATAGTCATCATCATCACCGTCGTCGTCGTCATCATCACCATCGTCATCGCTATCGCCATCATCGTCGTCGTCGTCGTCCTCGCCCTCAGCATCCCTCCCCGAGCCCGAGCGTCTTGGTAACTGGGTTGTTGACCTGAGGCCGCGTTTTTTTCCTGGCAGGCGTTTAGGGAACATGGTTTGGGCAGAAGGCGGCAACCCGAAAATCATGTTCCCGCGAAGTTTCCGGGAGCATGATTTGTTCGATTCCCTTAAGAGGGGGGCCTCTGGGAGCTTACCGAGGGGCCCCTTTTGGCCTTGTCGGCAAGACAATTGGAAACATGGTTGGGGCGGTGGGCGGAAACCCAAGGAATCATGTTCCCCGGAAAGCTCTAGGAAATACGATTTACCGAGGTATCTTGGGGGCCCGCGGGGGGCTTCCCTGGGGGCCCCTTGAGGACCTATTGGGGCTTCCGGGGGGCCTCTTGGGAGCCTCAGGGGGCTTCTTGGGAGCCTCTCGATGGCCTCCGGGGGCGTCCTAGGAGCCTCTCAGGCTGGAGACCTTGAAATGTCGCGCTCTTCGGGCCCTCTTGGGTCGCTCTTGGGGCTCTCTTGGGGCGCTCCCGAGGCCCTCTTGAATTATCTGGGGGGCTTCCTGGGCCGTCGCTGTTTTTTTTTTTTTTTTTTTTTTTTTTTTTTTTTTTTTTTTTTTTTTTTTTTTTTTTTTTGTTTTTTTTCCCTGTGCATCCCACGATGCGCGCGCGGCGATGCGCGTCTATGTCAATGAGACGTCATGACTATACGCGTGACCAGACGTCGCGGCTGTTAGTGCGCAAAGAATGCCCATGCGGCAGTCCGCCCAGCAGCGCCGATCGCGTGGAGTACCACATGTGAGGTCTTACTTGGAAGGCCCGACTAAATCAGTCGACCTCCTCCATCTTCGATGCCTCGTCAGCGGCGCCCTCGACCTCCTCGAGAGGGGGCAGGTCTTCGTCATCCCCAAGGCCTTCGTCATCGTCATCAATGCTGAGGCCAAGCTTGATCATGCGGTGGATGCGCCCTGCAAACTGCGTAGGCTCGTCCAGATTGAAGCCTGAGGTAAGCAGAGACGTGTCGAAGAGAAGCCAGATCAGATCCTTGACTGTCTTGTCCGATTTGTCTGCAGACGCCTTCTTCTTCAGCTCGGACATGATGGAGTGCTTGGGGTTGACCTCCATGGTCTTTTTGGACACCATGTAAGAGGTCATGGAATTATCCCTGAGAGCCTGCGCTTTCATGATGCGCTCCATGTTGGCGGACCAGCCGTACTCCGAGGTCGTCAACACGCAAGGCGAGTCCGCCATGCGCGAACTGATCACAACTTTCTCCACCTTGTCGCCCAGCACCTCCTTCATGAGCTTCGTCAGCGGCTCAAACTCTGCCTTCAGTTCTTCGAGTTTTTTCTTTTCGTCCTCGTCCTCGAGGTCCAGACCCTCTTTGGTCGTCGACTTGAGCTTCTTGCCGTCGAACTCCTTCAGCTGCTGAACGGTGTATTCATCGATGGGATCGGTCATGTAAAGGACCTCGAGGCCCTTCTTGCGTAGCGTCTCCAGGAAGGGTGACGACGACACCGCTGCGATGCTCTCCCCCGTGATGTAGTAGATGTCATTCTGCCCTTCCTTCATGCGGTCGATGTACTCCTTCAGACTGATCGTCTCGTCTCCAGACTTCGAGGTGTGGTAGCGCATGAGCTCCGCAACCTTGGTGCGATTGGTGGAGTCCTCGTGCACGCCCAGCTTGAGGCACTTGCCGAACTGCTCGTAGAATTTTTTGTAGTCGTCCTTCTTCTCGGCAATTTCCGCGAACATCTCGAGGCACTTCTTGACGAGGTTTTTCTTGATAACACGCAGGATCTTGTTCTGCTGCAGAGTCTCGCGGGAGATGTTCAGCGGCAAGTCCTCGGAGTCAACCACGCCCTTCACGAAATTGAGCCAGCCAGGCATCAGCTCGTCGCAGTCGTCCATGATGAAGACGCGTCGAACGTACAGCTTGATGTTGTTGCTCTTCTTCTTGGACTCGAACAGGTCGAAGGGAGCCCGACGCGGCACGAAGAGCAGCGCGCGAAACTCCAGTTGACCCTCTACGCTAAAGTGCTTCACCGCCAGGTGGTCCTCCCAGTCGTTGGACAGTGACTTGTAGAACGAGGCGTATTCCTCATTGGTGACGTCCTCGGATTTGCGCATCCACAACGGCTTGTTCTTGTTGAGCTGCTCCCATTCGTGGGATACTTCCTTGACCTTCTTGGTCTTCTTCTTCTTCTCCTCCTTCTCTTTCTCCTCATCAACCTCCTCGATCTTCGGCTCGTCACCTTCTTTATCCTCATCCTTCTTCTCCTCCTCTTCGTCCTCGGAATCCGTTACCTCCTTCTCCTTCGACTTCTCCACGTACAACTCAATCGGGAATCCAATGAATTCCGAGTGCTTCTTTACCAGATCCTTCAAGCGGCGCTCCTCCAGGAACTCCGACTGGTCCTCCTTCAAAAAGCAAATGATCTTAGTGCCGCGCTTGACTTCCCCGTGCACCATCTCTGTATCCTTCTGCACAGTGAAGGAGCCGCCGGCTCCAGACTCCCAGATGTACTGCTCGTCGTCGTTGTTCTTACTGATCACACGCACCTTGTCTGAGACGAGATACGCGGAGTAGAAGCCCACTCCGAACTGCCCGATCATGGAGATGTCGCCGCCAGCAGCCATTGCCTCCATGAAGGCCTTGGTGCCAGACTTGGCGATGGTGCCTAGGTTGTTGATCAGCTCATTCTTGGTCATGCCGATGCCAGAATCCTCGATCGTGATGGTGGAGTTTGTCTTGTCGGGGACAATCTTGATATAGAAATTGGGCTGCGCCTCAATCTTGTCTGGGTCTGTAATGGACTCGTATCGGATCTTGTCAAGGGCATCGGAAGCATTGGAGATCAGCTCGCGAAGGAAGACTTCCTTATTGGAGTAGAACGTGTTGATAATCAAGCTCATGAGCTGCTGAATGTCGGCATTGAACGCGAATGTTTCTGCCATAGCCTCAAGGGGGCTGCTAGCGTTCAGGCAAACGTCCAACGGCAAAGACTCTACGATCAGATCGAGCCAGAGCGGCTTGAGCCAAAATATTTACTCCAGATTTCGTAATAAAAGGGAGGGGATCACAACCCTCCCAGACGAGAAGTTTTAGACCCCCCAGACTATCCATCAAAGGGCGGCCCTTTGCCCAGACCTCCCCGAACCCTCCAAGACAGCTCAAATTAGACCCCCCCCCGAATGTGACCCCGCCCCCCCCCCACTTTGTTATGGAATCCGGAGTACGGACCGTCTCTGGGCTTTCTTGGTAGCCTCTTCGACCGTCTTGGAGCGATCTGAAGGGCCCCTGACGCCGTCGAAGACCGTGGGGAGGCGGAACATGGGAGAACGCAACAATGCTTCAAAAACTATCGGAAAATTGATGATGATCGGCTTCTAAGGCCCCTTTGGAGGGGCCTCTGGAGGCGCTCTTGGGGCGTTTTGGCCGCGTCGTCGGCCGTCCTGAGGCCATATTCGGCGTGTCTGGGCCTCTGGGGGCTGTCTTGGCAATCTTTAGGGCCCTCTTGGCGTATCGTGGCGTGTTTGTGAGCGGGCCCGGGCAGTCCTGGGAGCCTTGGGACGCCCCCAATCCCCTCATGGGGTGTACGGCACCAGCCCGTCCCCGCCCGCCCAGCCCACTCCGCCACGTGTATATATATATATATATATATATATATATATATGTATATATGTATATACGTATATATATATATATATATATATATGTAAATATATTTATATATACTAGTGTGGGCCCGTGGATTAAATCCACGAAGTTGGGGGAACGGCGTCGCGGCAAAGTAGGGAGCGCAGCGAGGCAGCCCCAGGACCACCTGAACGTCAAAACATTTGTTTGCTTGCGCCTGCGAGGGGCCTCTCGCCTCTCGTCCGCCCCCCTCTGTTGGAAGCAATGTTGAAGCTTCTTGGGAGCCGTGTGGGAGCTCTATGGGATTGTTTTGGGCTCCTCGGGGGCTTCTCGGAGCCCTCTTGGGCCGGCAGGGCGCCTCGTGGGCCGTCTTGGGGCCATCGTGGGCTGTCCTGAGCCCCTCTTGGGCCTCTCGTGGGGTCCTCTTGGGTCGTCTTGGGCGCCTCTTGGGCCGTCCTGGGCCCGTCTGGAGCCAGCTTTGGGCCCTCTTGGGGGCCGTCTTGGACGATCTTGGAAGCCTCTGGGACCGTTATGGACGCTTCGAGAAGCAATAAGCCGAATCTGCTGAAAATGTCCATTTTCCAAAAGGAATGTGACGAATTTAGCTTGAAACCCTTTCGGGCGACCCCTTGGACCCGCCTGGAACCGTCCGGGGGCGTCTTTGGGGCTCATGGGGCCGTCTGGAGAGCATCTTGGGCCGCCTGAGGTCGTCTCGGGGCCTCCATGGGCCGTCTCAGGGCTGTCCTGGGCCCCTCTTTGGCCTCTCGTGGGGTCCTCTTGGGTCGTCTTGGGCGCCTCTTGGGCCGTCCTGGGCCCGTCTGGAACCATCTTTGGGCCCTCTTGGGGGCCGTCTTGGGCGATATTGGAAGTCTCTGAGGCCGTTTTGGACGCTTCGAAGACCAAGAAGCCGAATCTGCTGAAAATGTCAATTTTGCGAAGGGACTCTGACAATTTTTGCTTGATGGAACCCTTTCGGGGGACCCCTTGGAACCGCCAAGGGCCGTCCGGGGGCGTCTTTGGGGCTCATGGGGCCGTGTGGAGAACATCTTGGACCGCCTGAAAGCCGTCATGGGTCGTCTCGGGGCCTCCATGGGCCGTCTCAGGGCACTTCTGGGGAGCTCCGGTGCCGTTTCGGGTCTTTCCGGGGCCCTCTGGAGTTGTTTCGGGGTTCTCTGAAGGCTCCGGGGGCTGGGGGCCCACGCAAACCCACAAAGCATGTTTCGGATATATTTGAATGGAAACACACACATATATATATATATATATATATATATATATATATATATCCTACATGCCTCCTCGTCCCTTCTCTTTTCACGTCCCATCCCTTACCAAAGTTTTGTGCGCAAGGGGGGCGTGCCAGCGCAGGGCCCCCCGACCCCGAGGGACCCCGCGCCCTGAAGGGGCGGCAACGCGAAAGCGAGTCCGAACCCCCGGAGTAGACCCCAGGAGTGGCAGCGCGAAAACGAGACCGAACCCCTGAGGAGGGGGCGGCAGCGCGAACGCGACTCCGAACCCGTAGGAGGGAGCGGCATCGCGATCACGAGTCCGAACCCTGTCCAAGGGACCCCCCCCCTTCCGAGTTTGGCAGGGAAAGGATGGGAAGGGCTAAAGCGGCTGCGGGGGAGGCAGCAACGGGATGGACGCATCAAGGGGGCACGCCAGGGGAGATAAATCGCACGAGAAACTGGATGATACGTATATCCTACCTGCCTCCTCGCCCCTTCCCTTTTCACGTCTCATCCCGTACCAGAGTCTCGTGAACGGGGCCTGCCAGCGAAGGACCCCCCACCCCGAGGGACCCCGCGCCCTGAAAGGGCGGCAACGCGAACGCGAGTCCGAACCCCCGGAATGGACCCCAAGAGCGGCAGCGCGAGCGCGAGACCGAACCCCTGAGGAGAGGGCGGCAGCGTGAACGCGAGCCCGAATCGTTAGGAAGGAGCGGCAGTGCGATCACGAGTCCGAGCCCTCCCCAAAGGAGTCCCCCCTTCCATGCACCCCACTCTGGTTTACCGTCTTCAGCCATGGGGAGGGAGGGTCGGGAAAATGCTGACAGCGAAGCTGTGAATCACGGCAGTGCAACCTTATGTGCTCTCTCCCTCTCTGTCTCTCTTTATCTCTCTCTCTCTCTCTTTCTTTATGTTTTCTTTGGTTTGTTTCTCTCTCTCTCTCTCTCCCTTTCTCCCTCTCTCTCTCTCTCTCTCCCTCTCTCTCTCTCTCTATCTCTCTCTTTTTTTCTCTTTCTTTCTCTCTCTCTCTCTCTCTCTCTCTTCCTCTATCGCACATCATGATCAAGGGCCGCCGCCGGGCGGCGGAGGCGGTCCAGCTCCAGCGGGCCGAACAGCAAAGTCTGCAGCCCGTCCGAAATCTAGAGCCGCGCCACGGCGGTATCCTGCCACATGCCCATGATGAGCGCGTGGCCCATGTTGTTGTAGCGACGGTCGCGCATCGTCGCGCCGCCGCGGCGCAGGGAGCACGGCGCGCGCTGGTGGCGCTCGAGCCCCAGACTGGAGATGAGCTCCCTGAAGACCCGCCTGAAGTCCTCCACGGACGACCTGAGGATCAGCTCGTCGGGCGGCAACCTGCCGAGGAAATGCCGCGCGAACCTCGCCACTCGCGGGTCGTGGAGCGCCGCCGACTCTTCGCAGTGACGCCGAACTCCCGACTTTGTGCACCATGATCATACTGAGCCCATCGTTCGTAAACCGAAACTGCCACCGGCGTAGGCTCAGTAAGCCCCATCGTGCGAAGGAGGGCCGCGTAGCCCACCGCCAACAGCAGCGCCGCGTCGCTGCGAGACCACGAGCGCGCCGCGCCCGCCAATGCCATCAGCACTACGTTTGCGTCGCAAGAAGAACTGCACGCCCGAGATGGTCAAATCCGCATCTCCAGCTGGCTGACCAGCGGCCCGCAGCGCCTCAGTCAATTCACGCAGTTGAAAGTCAAGCTGCCCCACAGACTCCACCGCTACACTGTGAGCGTCCACCCGCAAGGCGAACGCCAGCACCATCCTGTAATACCATCGCACGGTACGAGGCTGAACCAAAGTGCGCGATGCTTTCCCAATTGCTCTGCGCGCGCCAACACGGGCCACAAGATCTTGTCCGTCGCCAGTGCGCCTCCGACGCGGCATGATCGGCCAAGGTGGCGCCGCCTCCTCTGGGGGGTCGTCGGCAGCATTCTTGTCTGTCTCGGTGCGCCCGTAGATTGATCGCGCTGGGGCCGCCAGAACCAAGGCCGGCATCCTCTTGACAGCATCATTGAGCACATGGGAAGAAGAGCGTCCTCGTGTTCTCACACCAATGCCCACCTGTGAGTCCATGAGGTGAGCAAGCCTCGTATACATCTGATGGCGCACACGGAATCTCCAACGTAGAGCAGCCAGCGTACTGAGGACTTCCAGCGCTGTGATGTGGCTTTTCCATCTCCAGCGCCAGACCAGGACCGTCTTCCATGTCCAGCGCGCCACGCGGATGGGTGCCACAGATCAGGGCGCATGACATCCAGCAAATCCAATCGAACATCCGAGCCTCGAACTTCAGTGCGCCTGGCCATCTCCTCGACCATCTGCGCGCTCACGTCCTGCTGCGCTTCGCGGCCGCGCAGATCCTTATGGCAAACCAGCGCGCCCTCGTCACCGTCGGCCCTCATCCTTACCACGCCCTCGGACGCGTCGAAGCCGCCGCCCTGCTGCCGCAGCTGCTCCGCGCTCGGGGCGCCGTCGAGGTACTCCTGGCAGTGCGCCCAGTGCCCCAAGATCCAGGCCACCACGGCGCACTGGAAGGAAATGCCCAGCAATGCGCAACGGACTACCTCCAGCCGCGGGTCTCGCGGAACCAGGTCGCCATGGCCGTCGCCGCGTGACCGGGGTGGCAGTCCATCAGCATCTCCCGCTCGAAGGAATCCGCAGGCTCCAAGTCATTGCCATCCCAGCGCAAGCAGTGAACATCTCGAAACTGGCACGGGGCATTGCAGACTCGTGCGCCAGCGCGCCAACTCCTCCCCCGAACACTGGCGCAAACCCCTTGGGCATAGGGCACGCGCGCGCCCACGGGATGCAGCGGGCGAAGGTCGGCAGCCTCTGCCCCGCGCATGCCCCCTGCGCCACACCAGTGACGGCCTGCGCGAAGCCACCGCTTGAGATCGCCCTCGCCACCTGGGATCACCACCCTCTTGACCTCCTGCAACTCGTCCACAGCGCCCTGCCACTGAGTCATCAGGTCCCAGCCGCACCAGTACAGCCTCTCTCGCCGAGCGTGCGAAATGCCGGCCGCCTCGATCACCGCTGGCTGCAGCCCCAGCGCCCGCGACATAACCTGCCTATCCTTGGCCTCCATGAAAGACGCGTTCTCGATCGCGTTGAACAGCTGCACCTCGACGATGAACACACGACGCATCAAGGTCTGCGCCCGC